ATAAATGTGTCTGTCATTTTAATTTCAAAGTAGTTTATTTTATTTTACAAAGAAATAAGTTGGTACAATAGGCTCTTTCACTATATTTTGGAATTCGCATAATTGAATAAAGCAATCAATTCTAGAATTTTCTGCTATCTCACTTTCGAAAAACTTGAAGTCGTTCTTAAGAAAATAAATAAAAACAAAAAAGCCCAGAGATTGTTCTATCTCAAAGAAGAAAAAAAGATATAGTCAGTAAATGGGACAAAATAAAACCAACGTACTGTACAAGAAGTGTGACCGCCTTTTATTATTACCAAATTAACCAAAACCCTTAACGACTTGTTATGCCAAGCCCAATATTTCATCTAATGTCCCTTGATCTGCTTTACGACTAGTAAACAACAACGTTAGTGCCGCATCACAACAACGAGCGGCGCTTCCTCCACGCAAAACCTGTAATTCGAACGCTCACTTCATTATGGACGCCGATCTTTGTTTAGGGCCGAACAACGCTCCCAACGCTAATTAAGGGCCGGAGAGATTCGCATCAAGGGCAGAACAAACGAAATAATCAAAACGGAGGAGAGGTTAGGTAGGGCTGCTGTATACGAGCTAGATTATTGCGTAGATTATATTTTGGAAATTAAACATAGACGAGGAATTATGGTGAGTAAATACGAAACGAAGAGGTCTACAGGAATGGATATTATTAATTTTAGATAAAAGGTGTTTATGGCCCAAGTAGCATTTTCACGACTTGCGATCACATGTTTACTAAACACAACGTTGGATTAGTTACAAAAAATAGTTAGCTCCGTACCTTAGGTATTAAAATAAATGAAAACGTTGTTATAACGTTGTGCCGACGTTGAACTAGTACTACAACAAAGTAAAAGCTTCTGCGACGTCGAACAAACATTGTCTTGTAACCTTTTCTGCTTAAGTGATCTTTAGGTGATTCGGACAACGTAGTTACAATGTTGGGCAATAGAGTTTTCCGACGTCACTTTCAGGACATATTCCAATGTTATGCAAACGTCGCCGTCGTCTGTTTTACTAATTCCAACGTTGTTTAGATTTCCTTATTCTTACATTGGTAGGACGTCGAGCGTCGAGCCACTACCTTTTTGCAACTGTATTGAACCATAACCTTAAATCTTAAATTTTCACTTCATTGTTGTGTCCAGTCAGACAGTTCAGTACTGTTTTTGTTTTTATAAAAAAAACTTAATTAATATGGGACGTAAGAAAGGTACACATAAAACTAAATTTAAATATACATCGACATATTACCGATACTTTATCCACTCCCTCGTTTATTTAGAATATAGAGGACGGCACAAGCTAGACTCTAGGATGAGTAAATTAGGCAATCTTGCGACTAGTAGGTATACTACCTGTTAAGACTGAACTCCGACTTTATTAGTCCAGTATGCGACTACTCGAACTATTCCATCTTAATCTCCAAAACAACAAAGTGAAAGCCGCCATGTTGTTGAATAAGAAAATGTTTCGTTCCTAAAATAGTAATTCCTGCTTTTTGAATACATTAACTTGAAATATTTGACCCTAAACAACACGCGGAAACAATTTTTTTTCGACTGCGAATAAATTATTCCCATTTTACTAAAAAAAAAATTCCAGAAATTTTTTAAAACTTCTTAAATTTTAAGGCCCATTAGTAATTTTCAAAGTAGAAACAATACATTTATCAATAAAGTTGTTAGCGTTTAACTTTTTTGCCTTGGGTAACGAGTTACAGAGTCGGTTAAAGTGTTTCAATAATTATGATCTTCAAACATCCTCCACACTTAAATACTTTTGTTTTGTTTTCCTTTACTACCATCTGGCATATGTCTCTAACTAAATCATAAAAATAATATTTTTACTATAATAATCCCAATTTAGGATAAAACGCGACTTAGACACCATATTATTATAGTTTTGTATTTCTGTGTATTAGGATTTTAAACAACGTTGCAGTTTGTACTAAATTAGGCTGCTAGCCAACGTCGGTATCCAACGTCGTTTCGACCCAAAAATTATTCTCCAAACTAGTGCAGACTAGGGTTGGCACGAGGTTGTACCGACGTTGCGCCCCGACGTTTGGTCGCGTGATACAACGTTGTCCCGACGTCCAAATGCTACTTGGGGGAATAATAACTACGGTTGCAAGAAATATGCTTTAAGGTAGTTCTTCACCACAACTCATCACGGGGCTTTTCACAGGACACTGTCTGTTCAATGAACACCTCAGTAGATAGGAAAAAAAACTAGCCTATTAAAACAAAATCCTCAATACAAACCTCATCTGTGCAGATTTGTTTTGAGGAAAAACTATACAGGGTGTCCAAGAAATAAGTGCAAGTATTTTAACTGGTAGTATAATTCAACCCCAGAAACATGCCTATGAGGATTTTTTCGCAAAAAAAATTTGAAAATTCGGAATTTTTTTATTTTTTTTAATTTTTATTTAAAAAAATAATTTCTTGTTAATATGGCAACATAGGTAGTAGATTGAATTTACAAGAAAGAAAATCCAGAAAAAATCGGGTGGTTCTCAAAATTTTAGCAAAAAATCTTTTTTTTTTGGAAATTTTCAAAGTAAAATAACTCCGTTATTTTGGACTTATTTGAAAAACGATAAAGAGAAAATATTTTTCTTTTATCGAGATCTACCACCCCTCAAAATACTTGCACTATTTCTGGGACACCCTGTATGTGTGTAGCCTTTTTGTAAAGAAGATTACAATGTCATATTATACAAAAACACACAACGTAAATGTTAGTCAATAACAACTTAATAATGAAATTATAAAAATATACCGGGTGTGTCTGGAAAGTGGCTCTCCCTATAACTTTTTTTATTTTTTCAGATAAAAAAAAACAGATTTGGTATGTTCGAATATGATATAAATTAGGATTAATTGACGTATTCAATTGTTTTTGGTCACTTCCTGTTTCACCGGGAATGACTAACTTTTTCTTGAAAGTGATGCTCTGAATAGAATGACATATCATGTGTCAACTTTTGACATACCGGAAATGATTATAACTTTTGATTTTTAAATGCCACCCACGGTATATTTCTACTTTATTCGATATAAAATGACACTCTCAATAGAATGACATGTGATGTGTCAACTTTTGATATTTTCGCTTAAAAACAAATCGTATTTTAAATCTAGACTGCCATTGCTATGTTAAAAACACCAATTTTTAATCAAGAAGCCTTGGAAAAATAGTTCTGAAGGTCTAATATTTTTCGTGTCTTGTCCTGGTCGATTAAAATATACCCAAACTAGCTTGTACCAGCGACTTCGTTCGCGTCGAATTAATCATTTGTAATGGTGACGATAAAGCAAAGCAAGATTTCCATTAACATACAAACTGGATAAAATTTTCTCACATTTATGTCAGCATGAGAAAAAACAATATGGCGATATTATTATATAACTTGGTAATATTTGAGGGGTAGTTTCACCTCGTTGGAATTTGACTTTCGAAAAATCCGTTTGCCAAAAATAAGCTTTTTGCGTCAAGCAGTTTAAGCAGAATCGTGGTTTAGAAATTACACAACTTTTTGAAACACCCTGTATGATTTTTTAAAAAATTTCAAAATATGTAAAAAAACCAAATAAATTATGCTTGTCCATGCGTTTTCCCGAAAGACAACCGTTTTTTAAATAACAAATATTGTAATATTTGAGAGGCGTTCTCACCCTCTTGGAATTTGAGATTCGAGAATCCCCTCCTTATCGAACCTCTACACCCCACAGTCAATCCATTTGCCAAAAATCAGCTTTAAACGTCAAGCGGTTTAAGCAGAATCGTGATTACTCAATGATCATATTTTATGAAATACCCTGTATAAATTTATAAAAAATCTTAAAATATGTAAAACAACAAAATAAAATATACGTGTTTAAGAGTTTTTCCGAAAAACTCACCGGTTTTTAAATAAACAAATATTTTAATATTTTAGGGATAGTTTCGCCCCCTTAGAATTCGAGTTTCGAAAAATCCCTTCTTATCGAACCTCTACACCCTAAAGTCAATCTGTTTTCCAAAATTCAGCTTTTTACGTCAAGCGCTTTAAGCAGGATCGCGGTTAATCCATGACCAGATTTTTCGAAACACCCTGTATACATTTTTAAAAAAAATTAAAATATGTAAAAAAACAAAATAAAATATATGTGTTTAAGCGTTTTTTCGGAAACTTTACCGTTTTTTAAATAAAAAATATTCTAATATTTGAGGGTCTGATTGATTTCACCCTCTTGGAACTGGAATTTCGAAAAATCCCTTCTTATCGAACCTCTACACCCTAGAATCAACCTGTATGCCAAAATTGAGCTTCTTACGTTGAGTGGTTTGAGCAGGATCGCGTGATTAATCAGTATGTCAGTCACTTCAGGATTTTATATATTAGTATAGATTGTATTTTTAATCATATCTCAATTTTTTTAAATAGAACAAGGGTGACTCATTAGCATATTTGGAAAAAGCATTTCTACGAATAATTTGGTACCACACGCTTGGTATTTCGAGTCAAATTGTTTTATGAACCGCATTTTATAATTTCAAACAAACCATATGCGAAAATGTCAAAAGTTGCCACATGGTATGTCATTCGGTATTTTATATCGAAAGTGCCATTTAAAAATCAAAAGTTATAGTCATTTCCGGTGAAACAGGAAGTGACCAAAAACAATTGAATACGTCAATCAATCCTAATTTATGTCATATACTAATATACCAAATCTCGTTTTTTACCTGGAAAAATAAAAAAGTTATTGGGGTGAGCCACTTCTGAGACGCATCCGGTATACTTGTAATAGTGTCATAAACTGTCTGTTATTTACAAGAATTTAGTTATGTATAATTTATAATTTCTTGTAAACACAACGGACTAAACTGTTAATATAAAATTCAATCTGTTTTTTTTGGGGGTAAATAAGACACTATATAATATACAAAAACACACTACATAAACGTCAAAAATGTCTACGTACGTCGTCTTCTGTCTCTGTTCTTCGGCGAAGGATTGGGCGGTGGTTTACCCAGTGGCGGATTCTGGATATCGCTTGGAGGCCTGGGCAGTAATCCAGAAAAACTTCTTGCTCTTGGTCGAAGTTTACAATTGGCGAACATCTTTGACGCGTTGCAGTTCATTTAGTTTAGTTTTAGAAAACTTTGTCTCACTTTTTTTACATTCTTTTCTGTATAGTTTCTTTTATAAATCACTTTAAGTCTATTATTTTCACTTTGCACTACTTAGTTATGTATTGAATACAATCTTGGAGTCATTCTAGTTCATTTAGTTTTCTCCGTGTAGAAAAAAATGCACCTTTTAGTTATATATCTTTCAGTGTATTTTTTAAAAGTCTATTAGTAAATTTTAATATGTTTTTCGCACTATACAGTTGCTTGTTATCCTATAATAATGAGTGGGTAGTATGTTGGCTTGGAAATGAATTCACTTATTTATAGGAAATTGAACGAAATTCTCTACAAAAAAGGTCTCTTACAAATTTTTTGTAAACCTCGCCGTTCAAAAGTTATTAAAGGTTGCAGTTTGATTATTTTAAGGCAGTTTTCTTTTTTCTTATGAATTTTATAACTCAAAACAAAAAATCATTATGATACGCGCAATTCATGGTTTTGTAGGATATTCATTACTCTACAAAAATCGTTCCTTATGATTAGTCGCTTAAATTAACCGTTCGAAAGATATTCATCGTCATACTTCAATGCACAATAATTTAAAGAGTTTTTGATTAACAATTCGAACAATTAGAAAAAATGCAATAATTTTTTGTTTCAATGTTCCCAAACATGCTTAACACTAAAAAAACTAGAAAAAAAGTTTGAAACATTTAAAAAAGTGTAAATTTACAGAAAAAGTGTAAATTTACAGAAAAAGTGTAAATTTACAGAAAGTGTAAATTTACGGAAAAATGTAAATTTACAGAAAAAGTGTAAATTTACAGAAAAAGTGTAAATTTACAGAAAATGTGTAAATTTACAGAAAATGTGTAAATTTACAGAAAAGTGTAAATTTACCGAAAAAGTGTAAATTTACCGAAAAAGCGTAAATTTACAGAAAAAGCGTAAATTTACAGAAAAAGGGTAAATTTACAGAAAAGTGTAAATTTACAGAAAATGTGTAAATTTACAGAAAATGTGTAAATTTACAGAAAATGTGTAAATTTACAGGAAATGTGTAAATTTACGGAAAAATGTAAATTTACCGAAAAAGTGTAAATTTACAGAAAAAGTGTAAAATTTACAGAAAAGTGTAAATTTACAGAAAATGTGTAAATTTACAGAAAAAGTGCAAATTTACAGAAAATGTAAATTTACAGAAAATGTAAATTTACAGAAAATGTGTAAATTTACAGAAAAAGTGTAAATTTACAGAAAATGTAAATTTATAGAAAATGTGTAAATTTACAGAAAAAGTGTAAATTTACGGAAAAATGTAAATTTACGGAAAAAGTATAAATTTACAGAAAATGTGTAAATTTACAGAAAATGTGTAAATTTACAGAAAAGTGTAAATTTACAGAAAAGTGTAAATTTACAGAAAAAGTGTAAATTTACAGAAAAAGTGTAAGTTTTCAGAAAATCTGTAAATTTTCAGAAAATCAGTAAATTTACAGAAAATGTGTAAGTTTGACATTTACAGAAAAGTGTAAATTTTGCTAAAATTATATTTCAATGTTGCGACGGCAGCCCTACGCTTTCGTAAGTTATTAATCAAAAACTGCTAAAATTATTGTGCAAAATTTTTTAAACGGTTAATTTAATCGCCTAATCATAAGAAACCATTTTTGTAGAGCGTCGAGTTTCCTACAAAACCATTAGTTGCGCGCATCATAATGATTTTTTGTTAACAAGGTATAAGATTCATAAGAAAAATAAAACTGCCTTAAAATAATAAAACTTCAACTTTTAATAACTTTCGAACGGTGGCGTTTACAAAAAGATTGTTAGAGACCTTTTTTGTAGAAAATTTAATTTCCTAAAATATATGAGACGAGAAATTTTTTCCAAATAGTAGATTTCGAGATATGAATTTTTCTTTCTAATAATAAGGAAAAATAGAAAACTGAAAGGCAGAGGACCTTCCTGTTAAAATTAAGACCTCCTACTTGGAGAGAATTTTTTTGTGGTATTTAACAACCTTTTTTTCACAGTATAAAGTGAAAAAAATAGTCGATTTTTTTTCACTTTATTCCATTTGATTTTCTTATTAATTTAACTCCGCCGCTTTTTGTTGTTTGGCTCAATCAAGTCAAAGTCTGTATTTATTAGTTGTTTTTTCTTTCTGCTAAAACGCAATTAGACCTGTCTCAGTTCTTGTCGACTCTGTTTCTCCTTTCAGCTTTCAGCTTTCTTTTTCCTCCCTTTTCCGTATTGTTGTCGAATTTTGCCCGAGTTATTTCCGTCCTACCTTCCTTGACGGATGCCAAGAAGCGTTTTAAAGTTTCGTATAACGTCAACGCGCGAATGAAATGTTGAAGTTTTGTTGCGGGAGTTTTTGTTTTCCGAACTTTTTTGATGACGGACGGGTTCGAGGTAGAGAGGGAGAGATTCTTGCAAAGTACACAGAAAATGCTTTATGAAATTTGAGCAGAGGAAATTGTATTTTTTAATTGCTGTCTATACAGGAGTATGATTCAAACTGAGTTGATAGTGTAAATAAAAATAATTGTGATTATTTCCCTCATCGTGAAATGGACCAATCAGCTAATCTAATTTTTCGAATAAATTTTGTTTAGATAAGTAATTAAATCCCAAGACCTGTTTAACCGCGATTATTTTTTCGGCTTCCTTTTGGGTTTTCTTTTGGTCGTTTATCACTAATTCTGAGAGATTTTGGCAACAGTTCATTTAAAAACATTGATTTATAACTCATATGTATGACTTAATAACGATTTTAATCGGTGAAAACCCCTTATTCGATATTATTTTGAACAAATAAGTGGAGAAAAATACGTCAGAATTTGATATGTTGACATGCGAAACGGTCCTCGATGCATTGTTGGTATGCGTAACCAAGGTAGCAGAAGCACAAACATTACTTACGAGACGTCATTTTGAAAATGTGGTCCGAAAATGTTAAATTTTATAGTTAATAAAATTCTTATAGTTATTTGCTTCATCCTAGTTGCGGAAGGATATATCGAAGAGTCCATCAACAATAAAATAGAGATTACAGTTGGGGGTTTGAACCTTTGGTGTTACACAGCAAAATAAAACACTAAATCACCATAATACACCAAAACACTTTTACTTTTACACTGGACGCGCGTTTCGCTAACCACGTTAGCATCATCAGCAGATAATTAAAAACTCTTAGTTTTTCTACAACAAATTTATGCCAAATATCTCGAGAACCGTTACTCGTAGCGAATTTTACCAAGAGACTTTTTTATGTAAAAAACGTCGTAAATGTATATTTTTTACTCAGCAGTTTTATACAGGTACGGATGAAAAGTAATTACTCCTCAAACCATTTAAAAACATGTAGGTGGCGCCCTCTACAAGTTGGAGTCATATTGACATCAAAAATCAAATTTCTCATGTCAAAAAACTCCCAGACACCATAGATAAATGCAACAAGTTTAGATTGGAAAGCCCGTAAAAATTTTGGGTCGCGAAATTATTTTGGGTCGCGACCGTTATACGCGATCTGGCGCTGCTATAGCGGTCGCTAAGAACAACAGCAAACAAAAACAGAAATAATTTTCTCTTGTCAAAGTCAGAATCTTCAAAAATCATAATAATCTTTCAAAATCTAAACCGCTATCATTAAATTAATTCCGAAAAGTGTTTATAGCGTCCATTTTCAAAGTAATTATTGCTATCTTGTGAGTTTAATTCAAGTTTTATTTACTCCAACCGGTGATAATTGTGAAAAAGTGGCATTAAAAACTTAAAAAGCTGTGCTGAGAACTGTGAACTGCAAAACCATCGTGGATCGTGGCATAACGTCGGTTTCAATGTTTCATAGGTATTTCCTTACATGCGTCCTTATATAAAATAAAAGTTTCTTGTATGCAACACACTGTATTTATTTATAAAATTAAACAGAAAATAATAATAAATTTGAATAAACAATATTTGGCGATATAAATCCGGAAAAAGCGACGAACCGCTCGAAATTTTCAAAAAAGTTTTTGGGTCGCACGACCGTTGCAAAAGAATTACTCCTCAAACCATTTAAAAACATGTAGGTGGCGCCCTCTACAAGTTGGAGTCATATTGACATCAAAAATCAAATTTCTCATGTTAAAAAACTCCCAGACACTAATTTTCATCCAAATATTGACGTTAGGTACTTCTTACGAGGTTGAAGCACAGGCATACGCGGACGACCTGGTAATCTTAGTAAAAGGACACTAAGAGGAGGACATCTCCTCAAAAATACAGGATGTCTTAGATGCAATTCACGGCTGGTGCACACTGGAACAATTAAGTGTAAACCCACAGAAAACCGTGATCATACCATTCACCAGAAGAAGGAAAACAGACAAACTAAAACCGCCCACTCTTTTTGGTGAGACAATTCCGTTTGCGGAGGAAGTTAAGTATCTAGGATTAAACCTGGACCAGCTAAGTTTTTTGTCATCGAGAACTCCCATCTGGAAAAAATATCAAAAAAGGCTTGCTATGCTTTATGGGCATGCCGCCGAATTTGTGGGAGAAACTGGGGATTAAACCCCAAAAATATGTACTGGCTATACGTGACAGCCATTAGACCTATTATCACGTATGGCGCAGTTGCCTGGTGGCAGAAAGCCAACCAAACAACGGCGAAGAATAAACTGCCAAAATTACAACGACAAGCATGCTTAGCGGTGACTGGTGCCTTTCATTCTACGCCTTCAAAAGCTATGGAAACCCTACTCGACTTACCTCCTCTTCAAATTATTTTGGAGAGGGAGGCGAGATGGGCTACATATAGGTTTCTAAATATGGCACGAGAGAGCCAAGGAACAATCATGTTCATACAAAACCGACTAGTAGACGAACTACAATCGGATGAGATTCTGGGGATGGTCTCGGATCTCACACCACCAATCCAACTCTTGACGCGCACCTACAACGTCCTGTTTCCGAAGAGGGACGAATGGGATAAGCCGAGAAACGGCTTATTATTTGCGGAAATGTGTTGGTACACGGACGGATCCAAAAACGATAAAGGATCTGGCGCAGGAATTTACTGCAGCAGTCCAAAGACTGAGATCTACCACAGTCTTGGAAAATACACCACTATTTTCCAAGCTGAGCTATATGCGATTGAAACCTGTGTGCAACTGCTGGTAGAACAGCAATACACCGGGAAAACAATAAGCCTATTTTCGGATAGTCAAGCCGCGTTGAAAGCACTTGAGGCAACGAAAAGTACGTCCAGGACGATTCTTCA